ACACAACTGCCTTAACTTCTCTACACGACATAGAAGGATTTCCACTTTCTTTAACTGTCTATTACTGGATCCCTCCATTATCTAAAAGAAATGAAAATGCATGATATAAGGATGAGTCCTTGTAAATGCATGCATGCAAGTGTTTATTTTTCTAAGTATTATCATGTTTTATTCCTAATATGATACATGATAGTGCTTGGTTTTTCTTAAAAAGAAAACTATTTATATGAATGTTTGTAGATTTTGATGAACAGAGTCATATTTTCTTCTCTTATTATTTTTATGAACAAATGTTGTATGAATAATAATTCATCAAAAACATTTTTTATTGTAAGGGGTATTTTTATGGCTTTTAATCATTTTTTATATTTTTTATGACCCTTTATCTCTTCTGTCGGTCAATGTGGCTACTTAGCTTACAAAGAACCTGAAACTAGGCTAGCTTAACTGAAGACTGTCCGAGATAAAGTTGGTTATTCTTATCACTTTTATGGTTTTGTGGAATTTTTATTTTGTTTGTCTGTTGTGTGATTACCCTATGCTAATGCATCAATACAAATGCAGCAAACAAATGCACACACAATTCATTCATCCACGAGCAGAGCCACTCTTATTTCGAGGTAGGGTTTTCCTGCTGAAACGTGCTTGGTTTAGGTGGTTCTAAACTGTTCTCACCAAAGCCAAAGGTCCCCAAGGCGCCCCCATTATAGGGACCTCTCAATCTCTCAGTCCTCGGGTCATGCACGGAACTCCGTGTCGATATCCTTGGACCAAAAGAATAGAGTTATCACCTTGAGTTGGTGGTTTTCTGACAACAGTTGTAACCCCGTGTGCCAACAAGCCGGTCGTATCTGCCACCCACTCCCTATAGGTATTCACTCTTGCCCCCGGGTATAGAGGGATTGTAGTGTGCAAGGGTTTTTGTGTACAGTTTATATTTCAGACAATTTGCAGAAAATAATCATACAGCAGTTATTAAAGCCATACAATAAGACATACGGAAGAGGGTAAAGGCATAATTTCAAATTTTTACTTAGTTTGAATTTATCCGTCACTAAATGGGATCAACTCTCTAGCTTCCCCAGTGGAGTCGCCATCTGTCGCCGCCGTCCGTTCCGACGTCTAGGGACATCTCGAACATTTATGCGAGCGGTCGCGAAAAGATGGTTTAGACTCGCGTTTTATTTTAAAATATGTTCATTGCTTCCGAGGTGCTCAACAACTGAATTATCCTCTAATAAAAGCAAGGTTTTCACAAAAGGGTTCTTATGGAGTCGCCACCAATGTTATGACCGTAAACATTGGAAAAGGATAAAAAGGCGTTGATTTTAATAAAAACCAAACTTGCCCATCATAACCAGAGTTGGGTAAGGGAGTTAGTTACGTGTGGGGAAGGTGTTAGCACCCCACAACGCCCCTTTCGGGTTCCCTATGACGGATTAATTCATTAAGTAAAGATTACGAGAAATTACGCTATTACCCTGTTTTATTTATACAATATTTAAAAATGGCTATCTACATGATCTTATTTTCTATTGCATACATAAAGCAATAAATAAAGCAATAAAGGAGAAGAGAAGTGAAAAAAACCTCCGTAGCAAGCTTTGTATTGCAAATCTTTAACTGTGAGGATGTGTTTTGGCAATCCCCCGCTCTACAAAGACTCTCCTCCCCGAATACAAGATCGACTCTACTAAAATTTTAAGAAGAATCGAATGCTGGAAGAATATTCCTTAATCGATTGTTACCTTTTTAGGCAATCAGAGAGTTCATTTGAAAGAGGGAGAGAAGACAAGTGTCTGGAGTGTGAAAAAGTGGCAAATGAGCTTCCTATTTATAGTTTTCGCAGCCTGGCAGCTCGGGACGGCCGTCTGAGGTGCAGAAAACAGGGATGGGCGTCTGGGGAGGCCGGGACGACCGTCTGGGATCTGGGACAGCCGTCCCAAGCAGCAAAACTGGCTGAGACGGCCGTCTGGCATGTGGGACGGCCGTCTGGGCTGGCTGGGACGGCCATCTCGACTGTTTTGGCCAAATTTTGTGTTCTAGGACTCCCGGGAAGCTTTTCTTTCTTTATTCAGAAGTCGATTGATGCCGATAGACGTCCACTGAAGCTTTATCTTCAGATGGGAAGTCTTCTTAACCTTTATTGAGAGGCCGGGCAAAATTAGGGGTCTACATCACCAAATACCCTCTTCTTTGTTCTCTGTCTTGTTGTCTTCTGTTCTCTCTTTTTTCCCTAAAAGACTCAGATGCAAATAAAGATAAATCCTATAATGGGTCAGTACCCCATAAAGAAACATATTCATATTCTTTTTTAACTTAGTCAGTATGGACCCAATAAATTAGCGACCCACCTGACAGTTTGGACTATTTGAGTTTATTGATTTGTATAGGGAAGATTAGTGGTTTTGGTTGTTTAATGTGGATTGTATATATTTTAGATTGATATTTTTGTTTTCTGGTTTGATGTCATTTGAAATATTGTTAATGTTATGATTTTGGATTAACAAATATCCTTTTTTTTCTTATTTATATTTATTTAGCGATTATGGACCCTCGAACTTGATTTAGCAGCTATAGGCACTATATTGTTATTCAATTTAGCAGCTATTGGTCCAATTTGTTATTCGATTTAGTGGCTATTAGCTAACGCGCTTTGACTTAGTGGCTTCTGGCGTGTGCGATTTTTGATTTAGTGTCTTTAGGCCTTACGTGATATAGGTCATTTGGATATCTAGTCTCTTTTAAATAAATTTTGAGGTACGGGTATGTCGTTCCCATCATCATGTCCTATCCTTTTAAAATAAATTATTCTTTTAAAAATAAATTTTGAGGTACGGATACGGTCGTTTGCGTCATTATGTCCTTTCCTTTTTAAATGAATTTTGATGTACAGGTACGACAACTTGCGTCATCATATTCTCCCCTTTTAAAATAAACCTTGAGGCACGGGTACGACCGTTCGCATCTTCATGTCCTCTATTTTAAAAAATCTTTGAAATATGGGTAGGTGGTACGCGTCATCATGTATCTCAAAACATGGTAAAATCGACAAAAATATAAATTTCTCTAGAACCCGAAAAAAATATTAAAACATTAATCAAACACACAATTTTTTTCTACAAAGAACTACATAACTCTTATTTCTTATTTTGAATGAGAATACGTAAGAGTTAGGTCAATCCTTGTCGGGCCCCAAACAACTAAAAAATATTTTTGTCCATTCTCTTCTTTTTCTATTTTTCTTTCTTTGTTTTCTGATTTTGGGGGAAAATAAATATTTTTAAAATGACATTCAATTTTGCACATTCAATTAAGGGTAAACTGTCTTAGATTGAACGTTGTAGGGTGCTAATATCTTCCCTACACCTAATCGACTTTCGAACCCAAATTTGGTTTTCGTAAACCTTGTCTTAATTTTATGGTTTTTCATAGTTTTCTCAATAAACTATGTAACAACTCCAAAACTCTACTCTTTTGAATATTAAAATTTGGTTTGTCGTCCTGCTTGCGACAGATGACAACTTCACTAAAGAGATTATTAGAAAGTCAAACCTTTATTATATTAACTCAAAGTCATGTTAATTAATCTTTACTATGTTTCTTTTATTAATTAGATATTTTATCCATAAAAAAATCTAGACATATTGATTTATTCATATTTTTACTTCTATAAAAAAAATTTCTTTTCTACCGCTCATAAAAATAATTGTTTTGGACTATACATGTATATGTAGAAAACCTCTTTTAATATTAATAGTATTTATTTTATTCTATCTCAAACAATCTTAAATCTTGAAACGTGTATGGCATCCAAATTTACAATTTTTTTCTTATCTTAACCAAAGTTAAAGCAATAGAGAGATGGGAGACGAAAAGTGTTTGATTAGTTAATCAATCATATATACCTTTGGCTAAATGGGTTTCTGAATTTTAAATACAACCGTTTTCTACGACGGTTTTTAAGTATATGATGAGTTTACGGATAATTTAATATAAAAGATTAATATAATTTTCTTAACAAATTCTTAAATAAATAAGTAAAAGTAATTTTACACGATATTGAATTATTACTCTCTTTTTTTCCGTTACCAGCCACCAAAAACATCATAGAAGAAATCGACGAAATGTTGAAATTCAAATATTAAGACAAATTTTATCGCTATATTTGACCCAAAATTAAATATAAATTATTTTTTCTTCTACGTTTCCACAAATAATATACATGTCCCTTAAAAAAAATTGAAGGAAAAGAACCGTAGGTAAGAGGAAATTAAAGAAAAATATTCTTAAAAAATCTCCGTCCTTCCATTTGTTTGAACTTTATTTGGTACCAAAATTACTAATTATAATGAGAAGATAAGTTTATTTTTTTTTACATAAGAATATACTTTTTTTTTTAAATCTCTGATCAATTTTAAAAAAATGTAAGCAAAATTAGTAGTTTTGTATTCAATTATTTTAAGTTTTATTGTAAATTAATTATGTGAATAATAACATTGATATGCATATTTTTGTTCAGAAAGTATCATATCTTTATCCAGTGAGTTTCTATAATAGGACCTACTTTGGAAAGGAGAAATATTTTAATTTTTAAGTTAAGAGTTAAATAATATCTATAAATATATTATGAGGATATAGATAAGAGTGGATGGTATAACACCCAATCTTATATATTTTATTTAAATTAATTATTTTATACCTCAACTCATTTAATAGATATGCCCCCTATTTAATATAGGTATTTTTTATTGGTATCCATTAATTGTGGTTCTAATTCTCATTCCTATCTCAATCCTCCAATATTCTTCTTATTACTGACACTTCCATTTTGTAACTAAACCGAGTCTTCATACACATGACATTTGCGTGGCTAATTAAATCCAATTTGGGAATACTCTAAGTTAGGGTTGCATTTATCCCCTGTCCTTCTTTGAACTTCTCTATTTTTCTTTCACCGAACCAATCCTACAACAATTTGGCTAACCTTTTCAGCTCCAATGGTGAATCATATTTATTCACGTAATAATGACAAGAAAGCTAATACAATCACAAGTGACATAATCAATTCATCAATTTGTTTTTCTTGTGAATAAAATTCTTTAATTTAAAAATTAAAATATATCGATATGGTAATAATAGTGTTAAAGTCAATTACTACGTTTTGAATAATTATTTATTTTAAAATTTTAGTTTATTTTGATTTTGATCTTAAAAAATATATCAATAAATTAAAAAAGAAAAATATATATAAATTACTTTTAGTCTTGATTTATAAACGATATTGATTTATAAACGTATTAAAATATAGTCCTAAATAGAGAACTAAAATGTAGGAGAGAAACAAGATTATACTCTCTATCCCATTAGTATTCTTGTAAAAAAAAAATTATAATAATAAATAAGCCTGACTCTATCATATTTAAGTCAATATAAAAAAAATTGAGAAATAAAGATAAAGAAATATCTAAAATGAGATAAAATTATTTATAAAAATAGTGTGTAAATAGATTTAGGGTTTAAGATTTAAGAATCCGAAATAGATTTTTTTTTATGATATCTTAGTTAATAAATTATATATTTATTTTAATGTTAATAATTATTCTTTAAATATAATATTATATATAATTGAATAATAAGTATATTAATTATACATATTTAAATAAATTAATTAAAAAAAGTATAATAAATACGAAAGTTATAATAACTAGCATAACCTTTAATAATAAAGGAAAAACGAAAATCATAAAAATTTTATATATGGTTTAGTTATGAAGAAGAAGCATTTATATAGAGATTATTTTGTTATGAATTTTTAGAAGTCCTTTTTATGTTAGAATTTTTATATATTGGAACTGATGTCAACAGTTTATGGGGTAGTCTAAATATAAACATGTTAAGTTGGACGTAGTTAGTAATAAGTTTATTCAACACTTCTTACAAAGTCCATTTAACTAAAATATTTTGTCTTATGTCCACCAAAAGTGATAAACAAGTGCACCTATCAAAATAATTAAAATAGTATAATAAAAAAGTTTTAGCAACTCACTTTTTTATTATAGATTCTATCGTTGATCAAAATTATTAAAGACTTTAAAGTCGTTAAATTAGAAGTGCAACCCATAAAAAAAAATTAACTTCCAAAATATTTTAGATAATAATAACGACTTCAAAAGACCAAACCTTAGGCGCTGTAGTTTATTTAAAGGTTAATTTTTGAAAAGGCCAAACTTTAATTAAGGGCCCATGTAAGCTTAGCAAGTCAAGCTTTGAGCTTTGGATTTCTAAATCAGGTTAGTTTGGTTATTGAAAAGCCTAACCTAAACGGAAATAATGGAAATTTTTTAGTAAGTTGATTTATTTATTTATTTATTTCTTCAGACATTCATTACTCCTTTAATATATAAATTCTTCATCCATTTTAAAGCAGTATCATAAATGGATATTATGTAATTTGCTATAAAAAAAGTATTTAATATTTTCATCTAGCAGGTAAAAAAATATTGTAAGGAAATTTAAAAATATTCATTGAATGTTAAGACAAAAATAATAAGGAATATACAAAATGGAAAACGCTAGCGTTGACTGTGAGTGTTGAATAAGAAAAAGGTTTGACGTTGGTAGTTGTCCAGTTGTAGCCAGATATTTTATCCAGCTGGTATTATGACAAGGAACAGGTCAAACAACAAAAACTGAACTCTCCTTATGCTTTCGTTGCAGACATTTTCTGTTCCTCTGTCACTTCTCGTCGTCGCTACTTATTCAAACAATAACAGACACCTTTCTCTTTCATCCACTCTCATTTAATACACACGTGATCAAATCTCATCAAAACCACTGAAAATCAATCAAAAAGTCACTCCGTGTAAGATCGGTGTGCACAGCTGGACCTTACTCTGCCACGTCACCCCAAACCGTATATAACCCAATCCCACCCGATCATCCTCGCTCAGTTCCCAAAAACCTTCGACGCGCGAAAAGAAAAGAGAGACCTCCATTTGACTCCACTCCAATGTCTTCCTCCTCCTCCTCCTTCTCCCCCGCCACGCTCACCACCGAGCAAGAACTCTCCGTCATCGTCGCCGCGCTTACCAACGTCGTCGCCGGCTCCACCTCCTCCGATGCTGTCTCCCTCCCGGACTTCCGCCTCCCTCACACCTCCCAGCCTCTCGCCGCAACCACCTTCGACCGGATAGTCCCGCCGCCCACCACGTGTCGCGAGTGCAACATCGCTGGCTGCTTGGGCTGCAACTTCTTCCCCGAGGAGAAAAAGAAACAAAAGAGGGCCAAGAAGAAATACAGAGGCGTCAGGCAGAGACCCTGGGGCAAGTGGGCGGCGGAGATTCGTGACCCTCGCCGTGCGGCCCGGGTCTGGCTCGGAACTTTCAACACGGCCGAGGAGGCCGCCCGGGCCTACGACAAGGCCGCCATCGAGTTCCGCGGCCCACGGGCCAAGCTCAATTTTCCCTTAGTGGACGAGTCCTTAAGCATGCAGCAGAGCGAGCCAGAGAGGGTTGCAGCGGAAGAGCAGATAAAGAACGAGAATCTCAACCACGGCATGGAAATGAACAAGGATGCCGAATTCTGGGACAGGATTTGGGAAGCGGATTTTCATCAGCTGATGATGGAATTTACTGGAGATTCTTCCGACTCCGCCACTGGGAACACCCTTAGTTCCTGAATTCCATACATTCACTTAGTTAAGCAAAATAATTAGTGTTGGTAGTGTGTGTTTAAAAGTTGTAGAGCTCTGCTAAGCAAGCTTATTTCTTAATTAGCATTTTGCTAGCTCCATTACGTATTTTTACGGAGGAATCTCCAAAGTACAAACAAATCACGGGTTTTTGTGTTTTATTTCACCACCCTCAGAATATGCTCTGTAAAAAGATTCCGTTTTATTATGAATCATAGCTATTTTAAAGCACAAGTTAGTTATCTCTGGTCACTTTCAATTTGTACGTTTTTCGTATGGATTTAGGTTGAATTCGTCAAAAAAAAATAAAAATTGGCTTTATTATGTTGGGTTTTTCGTTTAGTAGAACAACTGACAGTCTAATGAATGCCAAAGTGAGATTCTAAGAATAACTGATGTTGGCTACACTGGAACAGAGTCAGTTACGTGTGTTTGGGAAATGAAAAAAAATCGGGGGCAAAATTGGAGGTGGAGCCCACCGTGCATCACCTGAAGAGGTTAGATGTTGTCGTGTGGCGTGCACTGGGAGAGTGGCTGCTGATTCTCTTACCGAGTCCTAAAGAACTACATACTTGGTAGGGCCGAGTAGTGTCCACTATGATGCCACGTCTACACAGAACATTACAAGCTGTAATTTTAGCACGTTTTCATTTCGTCACGTTTTCAATGCGCTCAATTCTTCACGTGCTGTTAAGTTCAGGAATGGGACAAATTGGTGATCCTAAAAAGGTATGAAAGGATTAGAATAAAACGTTTGTTTCGCATTACCAAAAGCTATTTTGAAGTGTGAACATGAAAAAGTGGTTGGTTAGCTAGCTGGTCGGGGACTGAAACATGTGTTGTGTTAACTGCCTTTTTTATTTGCTTCTCACACTCCTTTTTTTGATCTTATCTTCTTCCCCATCCAAGTACTAATTATTTAGTTACATATGGGTCAAATGTTGTTTTTAAATATTCGTTTCAAACCCATAAGGACGTGACATATTCACTGACGCAAACATACTCTTGGCCAGGTCTCACTTTGTCGGTTTGATGTCACTAGCATGCAACAAGTTTTAACGCACAAATTTTGAATGTGTTACTGTACTATTCCTTTCTTTCTACTGCAAAATTTAAACTATGAAAAACTATAGAAGTAAACGAAATATCTTATCCGAGTTGGGTCATCGATAGCAATAGCAAGTCGTAATATAATTGGAAGTTAAAAATTTGTTAAATGATCGACTTTATCTAAGTAACGTACACAACTTTGTTAACCTAGTAAAAAAAATCTAATGACAAATAACGTATATGTATTGGTTATATTGGTTTAAATGAAGTTGCTAAAGATAACTCGTTATCCATTATAGATAGGCTATTAGATAAAAAAATCATATAATATTAAAAGTCAAAAGACTAACAATAACGATGAGATCTGAACAAACATGATAATGTTTACATTCAAGTACAAGTTCGGTAATATTTTTACAACTCAGATTAATTTATAACACTTGAATAAATTCATTCATTCACTTACGTTCAGGTTAGACTTTGAGCACTAAGATTTGTGAACCTTAATTTCTGCATTAATCACATTAAATAAAAATATTCTCTTATTTAAATTATTTTAATGTATATTATAATAATAACACATTATTAATATATTACTCGATTATAAATGATCATTTTATTAAATAATAATAATAATAAGTATTAAAAACAAGTACAAATGATTATAGGTTAGGTTATAACACGTCCATATGTCTTTATTTTGATAATCAAATTGCTTTGCACATAGTATTTCATGAATGCACTAAATATATTGAAGACTATCATTTTATTCAAAATAAGATACTTCATGAATATTTATAACCATTTTATGTTCTCAACCATGCATAACTTCCAAGCATATCTACAAAGCTTTATTAGGGCATGCAAAATTTTACACCAACTTGAGGGACCATTTATAGATATTGCAGATGAAATTCAAATTATGAATTCTATGAATTAATTGTGATTAATTATGACTAATAGATTGTATGAGGAGATTATGATATTTAAAAATTAATTATGATTATTTCATAATTAGTTGAGATTGATTTCTTGTAATAAATTAAGAAGATTGGTAGGAGATTTAAGCTTAATAATTTTATCCAAAATTATGTAAAATTAAGGCATTTAGCCTAAAAGAAATAGAACATAAAATATTTCTAGTGTAAAAGGATTAGGGATCATAAGGGTTTTGTCTTAAGCGTAGACATGGTGGGAAGAAAAGGAAAATAAACTTCTTTAATTTTTGTTTGTCATGCAGTTTTTTAAAAGTATAACTCATCTTGTTTATAATTTAGATGAAACGAAGTAAAAAAAAACTACAAAGATTATTTTAATATATTACACATTTTAGAAAGAATCTTTTTTATTAAAATTATATTACTTTTCATTTAATGTTCATAAATTATTAAAAAAGAAAACTTTGAGAGAATATTTCTAAAGTGAATAAGTTCAATTAAATGAATTTTATAAATAATATATTTTAAAAATTTATTAAAGTAAAAATTGTATATTAAAATCATATTAATTTATTTATCCAAATATATTGGTTGATATGTAGTTTTTTTCTTTCTTTTCATATATTTTTTTAATTTTTTCTTTCTTCTTATTAACTCCTTGTTATTGTTTTACTTATCCTATTTTTTTCTTCTGTCCCACTTATTTCTATTTAAAACTATTATATTGAAATTTAACAAAAACATCTTAAAATAAAAAATTTTAAAATCATTGAAACCAAAAATATTTCAACTAGTTATTTAAAATTATTATGATAACAAATAATTTATTATGACAATAAATATTTTATTTATAATAATATAATTAATTAATTTAAAATTATTTTATCATAATAAATCAATTATTCATCTATTTGAATTGAATTATGTTGAAATTTTTTATTATTAATCAAAATGAACTTCACTTAATTTACATGTTAAACGACTTCAAGTCAAATTGGTGGGACACTATCTTGATTTTTTTAATCTTTAACATTTTACTTTTTTTACTCATATATTAATATAAATTTTCGAAAATAATAAATTAATAAGTCAACCAACTAATATTCACCAACCAAAATACTATGATAGATACAATCAAATTGTGAATTTTTTTGGTAAAAAATAAGGATACAATATGTTACATATATTAATTATGATAGATACTTGTGTTTAATGTAGTTAAATTTTTAATTTGATTTTTATATATTATTAATTATTATATTAAGTTTTTAATCATTATTATTAAAAAAGTTGCTAATTTTATGTTATATAAATTTATTAAGTGATATTATATTAATATACGTAGATTTAATTGTTTCCAACACCATACATAAAAAGAAAGCATCATATATTATCCAAAATTTATTGAGAAACCCGGTCCTATAATCAATGTTAATCTTTGACGAAATCAAGGTTTTTTATAATTGAAATCATAAATACCATTATATACATTATTTAATGATTTACGTGATATAAAATTATTTTTATCTTTAATAATAACTATTAAATATAACTATTTATTTATAATTATTATTATATAAAAAATATATTAAAAAAAAACATAAATACCGACAAAGAAGTTTCGAGGAAAGGCACAAAGATATGGTCAGGTGATGGGCATTGACATTACGGTTTTGACGCTCATTAGACGCAGCATTTCGTTATCATGATGACGTCATCTCCTTAGCAAACAAAAACTTCTCTTTGATTACATCAATCATCAATCACTGCTATCTGGAAAGTTGACAATGGAATATCGCCTCCCTCTTCCTTTCAGGACAAAAGAATAACAAAAATTACTTTTTCTTAATTACATAAACTAAGACAGTACAAATTATTTTCTATATAAAAAAATAATTATCTAACTAAAATATTCTTAAATATCTTTTTTCAAATATAATATTATAAATTGTAATTTTCAACAATTTTTTTAATAAAAGTATTTTTAAAATATATTAACAATTAAAAAAAACTTTATCAGAATATAAATTAGTTTTTATAAGTGGAAAATTATAAATATATATATATATATATATATATATTGCTTTAATTATTATTTTCATAAATCAAATTAAATGTACTTTTAAATTTAATCTATCTGAAAATCAATTTTTTTATTTTTAGACTTAGTCATGCATTGAAAAAAATGAGTTTTGGTTTGACTTAGATTAGAGGAATAAGTCCTTGAAGATAAAAATATAATTATCACGTAGTGTTTGACCTTCGTTTCGATCCCTTATTCGTAATTTTCTTTTTCTAGTTTGATAAGTGGAAGTTTAAGCATTAATATATATTTTTTTTTCACGTGTTTTGAAAGTCTCTAATATTTTAAAGGTGATAATTAACTTGAAGAAAGCAACACTATTTTGCAATGAAAGGATCACGTGATCAATGTGGCGTGCATAATATGTTTCGTACGATTTAATAAAACAATAACATTAAAAAAAAAGAAACTAAACCTATACTAATATAGAGTTCATAACATCCAAGAATGAAATAAAATTGCACTGAAAATCCTGTGTCAATTTTTTAATTATATCAAGTCGATAAGTGGGGACCAAAATGATTTTTTTCGTCACTGAGAATGTCATGTATGTTTTTTACTATTAAAATAATATTCACGGACTGAAAAATATTAGGCTTTCAAAGTTGTTTCATTTTCCTACTCCATAATTTTTTTTCATTTACCTCTATAATTAAAATAAATCTGATTTTATCCTTCATCAATACATATTCACATCTTATTTTCGAAATGGAGGTTCAGAAATATATTATATTAGTTATTTTAGAATATATTTTTAAATTGATTATTCCAAAAATACAGTCTAAAATATTCAATTGAAAATATATTTATGAAACAACCAATTTAAAAATATTTTAAAACAATCAATCCAAGAATACACTTTGCAACATTCAATCCGAAAATCAAAATATATTTTCGGATTATTGTTTTAGAAATACATTATGAATTAAGTTTTTCGAAATTTACTTTCAGGTTTGAAAATGTAATTTGGATTGAGTAGTTTGGATCCCTGTACTTATTTTTAGTCCAATTTTTATGTAATAAGTACAAAAAATTAGCAATTGCTCATTTTTTGTGCTAAAAACAAATCTTTAATGGGGCTAGAACCACAATAAAATGAAATTGCAGGAACTATGAAGGTCAAGAAGAGAATATGGAAGTGTAGAGGAACGAAATAGAAAAATATTTTAGATTTCAAATAAAAATTAATAAAAGGATATTTCGGTCATTTGATATGGGTTATGGGGTGCAGTAAGAAATTATAGGGGTGAGGAAAAGGCCTTTTGGAAAGAACAACAATTTCTTTTATGGGCCCAGAGTAATAATGAGTTTGAAAAAAAAATCAGTAAACTAATATATATATATATATATATATATATATATATATATATATATATATATATATATATATATATATATATATATATATATATATATTTAACAAAAATAAAACTAGTTAATAATTAAATTCATTGAAACTGTAAACTAAGTGGACTAAATAATTAAATTTAAGACATATATTTTTACCTTATCAAGTTAATATTAAGGAATTTTTGAAATTCTAAGCACATTTTAATATCTCTATTAATTAAAAAAGTTGTAATTTTTTTAGTTTTTAAAAATTGAAAAACCTTTTTGGTTATTATTTTATTAAAATAGGTGTTTTAGTTTTTAAAAATTAAAAAATCAATTTTGATAAAAGATATTTTTAAATTTTTTTTTTGTTTTTATTAATGGGTATACAAATTTGTCAGTACTAATCACGTTAAGTCACCTATTTTTATCTTCATCAAATATTTCAATGACAACGTTGGTTGGTTCAAATATTTTTTATTAACGTCTATCTTAATTACTTTTGATGGACGTATATTAAGATTATCTTTTAAAAAATTGACTAATACTATTTTTTATTAAAGTTGATTATATATTTTCTCTAATATTAAATGGAAAAATTTAAGCCAATAAGTGTCTATTGAGATAATTTTTCAAACTGCATTTAAAAAATTGGATAAAAAAATCTCTTGAGATATTTACACGAATTTGATTTAAAAAAATAGAAAATGATATTTTACAACCCAAAATTCATACTAAAAACAACTCTATTTTAATATTATAATAATAGTTTTATTTATTTTTTATTAAATCAGTCTATATTAATAAAAGTGAGTTATTTAAAAGATGGTATAATCATCTCATTGTAAAAATATCATCACTCATAAAAAAATATTATTCCAAGAATAATCAACACAATTGTATTTAATAATTGAAAGAAAGTATTTGGAAATTAATACCAGGCAACGGCAATGTCGCTTAATTAGAGAGTGGATGGGTGCAGGACCAAGTCAAGGCATGATCACTACTACTATTTTTTAGGAGAGCCTTGGACTTGTCAACCCTTCTGAATGAGAAACCAGGCCATGCCTTCTCTTTCTCTGCCCATTTCGCCAAAAACATCAAAAAAGTTTCCTCAATCGCAAGCTCATAGGTGGGGCCGTGGATTATGACAATATGAGCCCCTCCGTCTTCCTCCTATGGCTTGTCACAGTTCCTTTCCTAGCCTACTCTTCCCATGCTTCTGTCCCACTTCTAGGTATATTATCCAATTAATACTCTCATGACTGCATTCACCATCTTCATTCTTTAGGGTTAACCTTGTTTTTTCAATGCTTGCATCATTGTGTATACAATGTAATACTTTTTCATGAGATTTTCATCAGCAACAAGGATTTCAATTGTATGTCTTTGTGATTATATGGCCATCACATTAGTTGGTCACATGAATTATAATTCTGTCACCATTTTATGACAGATCATCCAGGAACCCGGCTAACCATTTCTTATAGTGAAATTTTATTCCAACAATGTTTTTTTGGTTCATAGAACTCAAACATGAAACCTTGTTATACTCGTACCAACGACATAATCATATTGAGATCACATAGGGACTCTAGTAATAGTGATTTTATGGTGATCTTTGATATTGTAAACCATTAGTGGTTAAGGTGACCTTGTAGTTGAAATTGCAAACTTTGGTTAAAAGCTTACTCGTGAATGCATGGAGGAGTTTGTAACATGATGGATGATGCATGGATGCAGGGTATTATATAGACTGTGGAGGTTCGAAGGAGGTAACGGTAGACAATCTGAAATACGTTCCTGATGGAAGTTACATCAAGGTGGGAAACATCACCCCGATCAACAAGCCAGGCTTGTTGCCTATACTGTCCACACTGCGTTACTTTCCCGACGCGTCGGCCAGAAAATATTGCTATTCGTTGCCGGTACTCAAGGGCAGCAAATACCTGGTGAAGACCGTGTACTACTACGGAGGTTTCGATGGAGGGAAGCAGCCTCCGGTGTTCGATCAAATCATTGAAGGGACAAGATGGAGCGTTGTGAACACCACGGAGGACTATGCCAAAGGCCTTAGCTCCTACTTTGACATCACGGTGGTGCCTTCGGGGAAGACCTTGAGCGTGTGCTTGGCCAGGAACGAACACACCGGTAACTCAAGCCCTTTCATTTCGGCCCTGGAGGTGAGGAACTTGGATGCTTCTTTGTATAATCCCACTGACTTCTCCAAGTACGCGCTTGTAACCGTCGCCAGAAGTGCCTTTGGAGCTGAAGATATCATTGGGTAAATACATCAATATTTCAGCTTTTTATTTTCTTTAGAGTATGGGGTTGATTAAATAAGTTACTCGGAGAAATAAGAGCGATCAAGGTTTAAAGGTTCATTTTTGTTTGAAGATTCTGATCAAGTTGTTTGCTTGTGGAGCTAGTTTTCCAGATGACAAATTTAACCGGATGTGGCAACCATACAAGGACGAGAATCCTGTTGTGGAAAGCCATTCAAATATAACCTCTACAGACTTTTGGAACCTCCCTCCAGTTAAAGCACTCAAATCAGGACTTACCACTAGTCGAGGGAAGATACTTGAGATTGACTGGCCTCCTATGTCCCTTCCAAGCACCTACTACTACATTTCCCTCTATTTCCAAGATAACAGACAACAAAGCCCTTACAGTTGGAGGATTTTTGATGTTTCTATTAATGGCCACACCTTCTTTTCCAACCTTAATGCCACAGCTAAGGGTGTCACTGTTTATGCTGCTCAATGGCCACTCTTTGGCCAGACCAAAATTTCATTGATCCCTGCTGCAGGAACACCCGTTGGACCTGTCATCAATGCTGGAGAAATTTATCAGATTCTACCTCTTGGTGGTCGAACTCACACTAGAGATGGTAACTTACTCATCTCTCCATTTTGCAATCTTTATGCCATGACTGTGTCCATATGAAATATATTGCCATCGTGAAGCTACTGTTCGAATCATTTAATTGTTGTTATTATCCATAGTAATTGCAATGGAGGATTTGGCAAGAAGCCTTCAGAATCCACCTGCTGATTGGAACGGTGATCCTTGCCTACCTAAAGGAAATTCGTGGACTGGGCTTACATGTTCTAATGGTTTTCATGCACGAGTCACAACACTGTAAGTTCACCAATAAGCTACAGCACTAGTTAGATTCCGCTGAAGTCTGCTTTTTTTGGTTCATTTGACTCAATTCATTAGTAAATGAGTGGAATAATGTATCTACCAACATTTGTCATCTTCTTGTGCCTTTTATGTTTAATGGTTGATTCACAATCACATATTTTGGTTTTTGAATATGTGAAGGAACCTGACTAATGCTGGGCTGTCTGGGACACTTACTCCCACCCTTGGCCATCTAAGTGCACTAGCTCATCTGTATGGAATGCTGCCATTTTTACTTCAAAAATGCTAAGTCATTCCGTCTTTTGGTTGTTTCTAACTACTGAAGCATGCCCCTTTGTGAATATTTGCTTATAGGTGGCTTGGGGGAAACAAACTCACAGGCACTATCCCAGATTTGAGTGGACTGAAGGATTTACAAACTTTGTATGTGGCCCAAAAGATGCATAATCATCTCACATTATTCATAATTTGAGATTTCTTAAATTGTCCAAAGTAATTACCCAGAACTTTAACCCCCTTTTTTCTTTGATCTTTGTTACATCTAAGGCATTTGGAAAAGAACAACTTTGAAGGATCACTTCCTCCAACAACAGAGAAACTCCCAAGACTGCGTGAAATGTAAGATCTTACCATTTTATAACAAAACACTCACATTCTTTGAAAAATATCCTTCAAAGGATAATGTCATCACTCATTATATTTCCCCCCACTTTCTCTCTCTCTTTCTCACATCAATCCACTAACTTGTGTGTGCCCTGTGACAAATGGTGTCTGCAAAACCAGTTCTTCTGATTTTCAGGGGGAAGTTGGCAAACCTGACGGTAAAAGCGAAGCGAAGTGAAATTACAAGTAAGCGCAACACTATAATTTTGTACCTATGCTAATTATAGCTCTAACAACACTAATAGAGTTCCTCTGAAGTTCAAGTCCAAATTGCTAGTTATAACCGTGCATTTTCGGTTTCAAGGTGGCTCTAGGGATTCATCGATGACAATTGAATGAGCACAAAGCCATTGCAATCGGCTTTAACATAATCGTTGTGTTTGATTGATGGGGCGTGCAGTTATGATTGTATGCTTTTGCTGCAAATATTATCTGTAATTATACCATGATCTATGGAGTATATATATGATAATAGAATATGATTCAAATAATCTTCTTTTTTTTTTTTTTTTTTTTTTTTGAGGATGAGTCTTTCGTTCTAGTAGTTACATTATGAGATAGATGCTAATCTAGCCAATAATAACATAGCACAAGTTCATACATCATCTGTAATAAGTATTCTTCCCAACTTTATGGTCATCAGGATATTTATCTGCTTTCTTGTTATTTTAGAAGAAAGAATCCCACATCCTGAGATTTGTTAATATATATATATATATATATATATATATATATATATATATATATATATTTACATTTTAAATAATATATATTTTAGATAAATTAAATATTGATTAATATGATTTTAAGTCAATATCTGTTTTTAGTTTAACAGTAGTTACTAGTTAGGTTGATTGTTTTTACCTGTATAGTAAGCTCATTTAATAAATATTAAATAATTTGAAAACTTATAATAAACAATTTAAAACATGTCTCCTCAAACAAATGCAGACTTATTTCGAACTATATCTTTCATATTATATAATTTATTGTTTATAATATTAAAAATAATTTTGATTAAAAAATAAAAGTAATTTAGGCGAAGCAATTCAAAAGAACAGTGGCAACTTATTTCCAAATCGGATTGTAGTTTAAAATTATATAAGTGGTTTCTACCCCAAAGTCTATTTGGTCTAAATAACAATACACTCTAAATCCTCAAACAATATATATTTGGTTCAAACCTTACTCATGGAATCATCAATAAAATATTCTAATAAAAATTAATAGATTTATAATTAATGATCCAAAATAGATCACTTGATAAGGTGGTTTCCTTATAGTATCACTCTTAATCTAAAATATTAGTTTAAGTATGTAAGCACCTGTTTTTGTGCTTTAATATGAAACGTGTGAGATGATTTATGATGAAATAATTAAATTTAAATTTAAGGATAATAATTGTGTTACTAGTAATGAAGTAAACATAATATATAAGTGGTGGTGTAGTAAAAGCAGTTAGGGTTTGCTTTTGGGCTTAAAATATTGACATAAAATATAATAAATTATTATTATTATTATTATTAATAAAAAAATATAATCCGCTTTAGAATTTATTGAGCCGAATATAGTGAATAATGTTGGAAAAAGAGAAATGTTCACCAATAAAACACTCCTTCCACATATAGTATAAGCAATAAAAATAAAGATAATAGAGAAATATTTAAAGAGAATAAGATGATTTATAGAGAGGAAAATGAGATTTTTTTATAAGCCTCTTATTAAGTTATTATAGGTAATAATTTATATTTGTTTTAATGTCAATGATTACCCTTTAAATGCAATATTATGTATAATCAAATAATATGTATATGCATTATTATTATAATATGGATTAATTGGGAGAATATTTCCATTACATGTAATAAATGTGAAGATCTGGACAGGTGCATGATTCTCCAAGCTCAAAATCTAATTTTAACATGGATGAAAGAGCTAATCAAGTCTCATTTATAAATTTTTATAAGACTTATTTTAGATATTAACGAATCCATGTTACTTGTTGATTTACATGAGTCTATTGTTTTTCTCTTTGTTTGCAGGTGTGACCAAGTCAATTCGAGGACTACAAGTTTTTCTTAACAATTGTTGAGTTGCATTTTATTCAAACTAACAATTTATAAAGTATCATTAATATTAAAGTGATTCTGATCCAGAATAATGATCGATGTGGGCTCGATATAAAGTCCTAAGGTATGCTCAATGTAGAGTTATGACCGATGTGTGTTCGATGTAGAATTATGACTAAAGTGTGCTCGATATAGAGCTATTAGTGAATTGTGCTTCATATAGAGTTATGACCAAGGTGAGGAGGACAATTACATTCATGTTAAATGTTCTTTTGATATGGAGCTTGGTAATTATGACAACGTATTTAATTTGGTGATATTGTGTACTATTGTATGACGTGCTTGTATAATTGCTATGATGCTCAGATACAATATAACCCGATTAATATATAATTTGGATAATACATCTCAAATAAAATGTAGTTCAATTTTAATGTATAACTCGGATTATTTGAGATGAATTCTTTTTATTTGTTTAAGTTGCTCTACAAAGACTCTATCTTATAAATTTGACAAAAGCTATGGAGGTTTCATCTTTTCACACTAAATTGTACTAGGTAAGAATACTAACGTGTTGCGATAACTATGTTTTATGATGACGTATTGTAGTAGTTATGTTCTTTCGCTCTAGTTTCTTGCTAGGAGAGTAAGCTTATATATGTTATATTTTAAGTCGAGTTGTGTTAACTACGACTTTCTTATATTAGTACAAAGCTAAGAGTAATGTTGAGTATAACACGGAGCTATGTATAAAATGAAGCTAAATATAACACGAAGTTAAGTATAACATAAAGCTAGGTGTGAAGTAATTCTTTTGGAAAACTATATTAACATATAACATTTAAATTTGAGTTATATTGTTTACCTCAGTGGCGGATCTTGACCATTCATCTTGAGAGGCCCAATTAATATATTATTAATAAATAAATAATAAATAAATATAAAAGGAAGAAAGAAGATGAAAGGGTGAAAAGATAAAATTCTAGATATATACTTAAATATATTAAATGATCATTAAGTTTGAGGCACTAGTACAGAAAACACCTTTAACATCGGTTCTTAGCAGCTTTCTACATCGGTTCTAGAACCGATGTAGATACAACCGATGTAGAAAGTTGGTGAGTTTTAACATCGGTTAAGAACCGATGTAGAAAGTCTGACTTTCCACATCGGTTCTAGGCCATAACCGATGTAGAAAGTCTGACTTTCCACATCGGTTCTAGGCCATAACCGATGTAGAAAGTCTGACTTTCCACATCGGTTATAGCTATAACCGATGTGGAAAATCAGACTTTCTACATCGGTTATGGCCTAGAACCGATGTGGAAAGTATTAAAAATCACTTTCTACATCGGTTATGGCCATAACCGATGTGGAAAGTCATATTTTTTTTTAAATACGAATTTTAGTTTTTGATTTTTCAGAACCTGTACAGCATTTTAAATATTTACAGCTACTCAGAATGTTAATCTATATATAGAGGACATGCATTAACACACAAGTAAACATAATGTATATTATATATCTACATTGTATTGTATCAACAAACAATAAACATGTATTATATTCTAAGTTTATATATACAAAGAAACTAGCAGTCCTAATGTTTCACAATTAAATTCAATCACGACTATAGTTCTTAATAACAAAATCTGTCCAAATTCGTCTAATGTCATCAATCTCTGCTTCACTTATTGGATGACCATCATCGAATATCTACAAAAAAAAAACATTTCAGATAAGCAGAAGTAGGCAAATATATGTCAATGACATAGATATAGTCATAACACATACCAAATTCCATGAATCTGTGATATTTGCTGTGATGATTGTTAACATATGTCTCATCACATAATATCCGCACTCCCAACTTCCTTTTTGCTTATTACACTATAAGAAAAAAAAACATTAAATACAGAAAATGAGTAAATTAAAGTTAAGAATTTGAAAGATAATGTCCTTACACGTGGAAGTATCCATGTGGGTTTCTTTTTAGGCTTACCCTCCATGACTGAGTATGCTTCTATACACCTATAAAAGATTAAATGGAAAATACTTCATATTAAGACATGTGGAACTTAAAATGAAATGAATGAAATATTATACAAGGGTGTTAGTATACTTATCTTAAACAATTGAATGTTGTTTGGATCGGGATTTGGGAATGAAGCACAATTATTATGAAGTACTTACTTATGAATATAAAAAGTAAAATCTGGATACTATTTAGCTCAAAGGAGTGAAGCACAGATCTTTATAGTTATTTAATCTGTCATGAACCAGACCTAGAGTATTTAATTAGTCACAAAGACAGATTCATATATAAGGGTGTTAGTATACTTACACATCAATAATCTGTTTAATTTCCTTTTTGGGTTTATTCCATAAAGAGCATAAAAAAATAGTCTCATTACGTTTAGGACAAAGGATAAACAGTTGCCAGTGAGACCTACAAAAAATGTCGCTCAATTAGCAATTCTTAAGAGATTCAAAGTTTGAAAGTAAGTAATTTAAAAAAACTTACCCATAATGATATGGTACATGACGTCTTTGCTTAGTGTGAAAATGGAATTACCTCTATTCAGAGGCAACAAACTTAAACAACTCAAACTATAATCCAAACTGAAATAGTACTGGAACAACAGTAAAACTCCAGGAACAAAACAAACAACACAAAGAACAAACCTAAATCAACAACATAAGAAACAAACCCAAATGAAAAACAAGAGAACCAAATATAATCAATACCCCAAAGCCCTACACCCCAGCGTGGAAACCCATAGCCTTAACTCTTCCGCTAAGAGACTCGGACCAGAGCGACATCAACCAACCCAACAGGGCTTGGATAACACCAATCTCAACCCCACGAGAATAACCAAGTGAAAATCACATATTCAAGTCAAACTAAACGGAAATAATAATACAAAACCCAGAATAAACATGTCTACATACATTAAACCCAGGCAGAATCAGTCCACGACCAAACAAAACAATCCAGAATCAAGGAAAATGCATAAAGGTAATTGACAAAACAAGGATGAGAAGCCAATAGGATAGACCCACGGACCTGGTCCGAATCACCTCTGGTTCGCGACGAGATCGAAGGTGCGCAGGTGCAATGAGGAGGAGCTCCTAGAGGGTTTCAGAGAGGTGAAGACGAGGGTGGCGCGTCGCAGTTCTTGGTGCGCGTCGCAGTTCCTGGTGCGCGTCGCAGTTCTTGGTGCACGGCAAGGGTGGTTTTCGCT